CCAAAGTACAACAGTTAAAGTCCAAAAATGGTTGATTGGTCAAAGTTACCGGAGGACCTCCTCTGCATGATCGCCGTTCGATTGTTCTCCGCCGTCGAATTCCAACGTTTCCGTAGCATCTGCAGATCATGGCGCTCTTCTTCCTCCTCCGCCGACAAAAACCCTTTCCCTCCCCGACCAGTCCTCCACCTCAATCCCCTCGTCGTCAGTGTCACTTCCCCATACGGAAACATAGATCAAATCTACGGCCTCGACCTCTCCGCGTTCCTCTCACGCGCCGCCTTCTTCCGCGTCACTCTCTCCTCCTCCTCCGAGAGGAACCAGAGCTGGCTGATCAAATCCGACGCCGATCTCGGGTCCGGGAAATTCCGTCTCCTCAACCCTCTCTCGCGTCTCCCGTTGTTGCAGAGTTGGAAACAGAGCATCGATCTTTTGGAATTCACCGTCTCTGAGATTCGAGAAGCGTATTTGGTTCAAACCTCTCGCAAGAAGAAGCTAGCTCACGGGTTAAACAGAGTGATTCTTGTCCCTGTTGCAGGAGGAGATCCACGGATTGTCGGAATCGGCATAGATGGGAAGATCAGGTACTGGAATGGTGTAATCTGGACCAGATTCAAAGACCAGATGGCTGAATTCTCCGACATTATAGTTCACAAGGGGCTAACTTACGCCTTGGACTCGGAAGGGGGTGTTTGGTGGGTTAGTTCCTCTCTTTGCATCTTCAGGTACGGACCTTCGCTCGATGAGGACATCGTCACTAGTGGCTGTTTCAGTGAGAAGAGCTTGGTTGAATGTTGTGGAGAGCTTTACATTGTCGATCGTATCCTTGAAGGGAAATTTCGAAAGCGAAAAGTTGATAACTACGATGATAATGGGGTTTATGTTGTTCGTTTTCCTCAGTTACACTATGCGATACACGACGATGCTGGGATTGAGAAATGCCAAGTATCACTAGGAAAACGTCCCAATACGGTTGGTTTCAAGGTTTACAAGATGAGTGAGGAATCGGGGAAATGGGTAGAGGTTAAGTCCATGGGAGACAACGTGATTGTGATGGCTACGGATTGTTGTTTCTCGGTTTCGCCTCATGAGTTCTACGGATGCCTACAAAGCTCTATTTACTTCAGCGATGACGAAGAAGAGCTAAAGGTGTTCAAGCTAGACGATGATAGTATCACGACAAAGACAATGACGGGAATTTCACAAGGTTGTTTCCAAATGTTTGATCCTAGCTTTCGCTAAATCAGTGTTTATGTCAAAATCAGCTTCCTTTATGTTAAATAAAGCTTACCTTTCATCTTCATTTCCGGTATAGACAAAAGCGTATTGAACAGAAGATGCAGCATGTTTTATTGTAAATACAATTGTAATATGTATCATGATGAAGCATTAAGATGTTTTAGGACTGCATCAGAAGAATGATGAGCAAAATGCTTCTGCCTTAGCTTCACATAAGGATAACCGAGGAACGACAAGAAATGAGCCGGCTTTGAGAAAGACGTTATGTCATACCATACTTTACCATCTCCGTCAAGCTCTATCGAAAACCGTTCTTCTCCAGCTAGTAAATGCCCCTGAAGAGTGCCACTTCCGTAACCGAAATGTGCAGGACCTTTTCTAGATTTCCGGCTTTCATCGACATAAACCACTTGTAGAGGAAGCATAACCCATGGAAGAACTTCTTTAACACAGATACAAAACTTCTTACCGGTTTCAACAGGAGTTTTAGGGTCAACAAATGCCCAATCCATACCAAAATGCCTGCAATTTTTTTCGATAATCGAAATCAATGAGAACAAAAACCGATTCATCATGTCAATGAGATGGAATAAAGCAAATAACATACTTCCAATTCTGGAGAGCTTTTTTCCCCTTCTCGTAACTCTCTTTACCGGAACCGACCAAAACCCGAGAATGATTGATCAAGAATCCATCTTTTTCGACTTCTGAATCTTCCTTTAGTTTAGCTACTGATCTAGACGAAACTCCTCTGTACTTGGTGTCGTAGTTGAACGTTCCTGTTCTGGATTTTAACCATAAACTCAGAGAGACTTTTCAAGTGCAAGATTGGGATCTTTTTTTTTTTTATCAGTTATGGTTTTGATTCTTACTTATTGAGTACTTGTTGCTGTTTCTCTGAAGATGGATGTCCCCAACTCAAGAACACCATCTCGTGCGCGAAAATTGAAGCAGACCCACAATCACTAGAAACTGTAACAAGAGAGAGAAACAGAGAAATTCGAAACCTGGGTAAGTAAGTGAATCAGTTACTGTTTTGAAGGTAAAATTAAAAATCGAAACTTGGAGATAATTCAAACTCAAAATTGGAGAGATGTTGAGAGGTGAACCTGCAAGCTTCACAAATCAGAGGCGTTTAATCCCATTTTCGTTCGGTTACTGTTATGAGTTCGCGTTATTTCGTTTCTACGCGCAGCAAACGGCACGGTGTTCGTTAATGAATGTCTAATACGACGCTCAAACCCAAGTGATTAGTTTTAAACGGCACGGTGTTCGTTAATCGTTGAATAAAAGGAAAAAACTCTAAACCACTAAGTAGTTGGAGAAAAACCAACCTATAAGCACAACAAGCTTGGATCAAGCTCAAGCAGTAATTGTGGCAAACCTGAGTGGAAGTATGTGACATCCAAATTTTGGATTCCAAAACAATATTTGGTCACAAAAATACTTTTAACTATTGACCTGATAAAGAATATGATTTAGTCAAAACGTATACGCAACTCCTTATCATCAAAGAGCAACTAAAAGGAGGAAACATTCTTCTAAGGTCAAAACTAGGTCCTCCCCCATTAGCCACACCCGAAAAGAAACAAGAAAAACTGTACAAGTCTAAACAGTGTAAGAGAGTGAGAGTTATCGTTGAAATTGATCAGGACTAGTAACGGGGCTTTCTGAGAGCTTGCATGAAACTAAGACACTGCTTCTTGTCCTTGCCAGGTTCCTCATCTCCAACCTGCTTGTTTTCACCACATCCTGCTCGGAGAATCTCGCCTTGTAATGAGTTTTTACTCGGATCACACGACGTTTACCTCATTCATTATCTGTTGAAGCATTTCTATGATTTCCTCAAAGACTGGTCTTTGTTCTGGGTCTTTATGCCAGCATCTCTCTAGAAGTTCCTTCACTTTTGCGTTTGTCTTCTTTGGAATCTTCGGTCGAAGCCCCTGAAAAAAAAAAAAACACTCAATTTAGCCTCTAGAGGATGAGAAAGACTTGTATGTTGCAACGTTCTTAGTTACACATACCTTTTGGACAACCCCAACAGCCGCTTGTAGTGGAGTCAAGAAAGCATATGGGATCTGTTTCCAATTACAAATGCATGATGCATCAGTATAGTCTATTAGCATGAAAGATTCAGACAAAGAATTATAAGCAGGTTCTTACATCACCAGTCAAAAGTTCCCATAGCACTATTGCAAAACTGAACACATCTGCCTTGTGACTGTAAGGTTTGTGCTCAATGACCTGTATTTCCCAAGTATATTGTCAAAAGTGAGAGGGAGATAAACAGAGGAGATAGACTGATGCGACAAGTTTCATAGACTCCAAAAGCTTATATTCACACTAAACACATAAAGCCAGATCAATATACTTGGTTTGAGGTATAGTATTCATACCTCTGGAGCCATCCACCTGTATGTCCCTGTTTCAGCTGTCATGACCCCTGATTCAATCTGTACTCTGGCAACTCCGAAATCAGCAACCTTGACAAGCTGCTCAAAATTAATCCAAGTTTAGAACCGTAGAGTCTGTCGCTTCTAGTAGAAATAAAACAAGTTTGCAGTGATATTATGTAAATGCTTGTTGACTACACTAAGAGTAACCAGAGAGAGAGAGAACAAATCTTACTCCATGTTCATCCATAAGAAGATTGGCAGTCTTAAGGTCCCTGTGAATAATATTGTTTTGATGCAGATAGCACATTCCTTTGGCGACATCAAGTGCAACTTTAAGCAAAGTTTGAAGTTTGAAAAGACGTTTCTGCTTGTGAAGAAAATCATAAATGCTCCCCTGAGCCATAAACTCTGACACAAAGATAAAATCAGTCAACTCAAATGTCATGTTTTTGTGAATTAAAACTCAAATTGGCATCTACTAAGAGCTTACCAGTCACAATACAGAGAGTTGGCGATCGTGTGCATGCACCCAAAAATTGAATGACATTTTTGTGTCGGACTTTCCTACAACAGTAAAGCATCATTAACAAATGAAGCATGCATGTTCGTTCCTTTAGAAGAGGTGTAAAAGATCACTACAACATGGTACAACAAGGGCATCGTTAGTGAAAAAGAGAGGTTCTTGTATATAAACTATGAAGTGGATTTTACAGTGGAATGTAAGCGTAAACTAATATGGGAATATGCAATCCACATGATGATGAGAAGTAATTGCACCTACTTCATTATGTAAACTTCTTGAGAAAACTCTCTTAGCATTTCACTGTTTACACGCTCAGGCTTGAGAAATTTGATAGCTACTTCCTGACTGCAGTACGTGCCTCTATGCCTGCATAGCCATCAAAAACAAACTACTGTAACTTCTAAATAAAAACTTACAGCATTGTAAACCGAGCTGACAGAGTAATAAAACTCACAAATCACCATAAGAACCAGATGCCACTTTCTTTTCAACTTTGAGCTGTTTCACGTCAATTTCCCACTCGTCAATTCCATCTGTGGGTATTTCAATGCAGGCAGGTATCAGCTCGTTGCTTGATTTGTCATGCTCAAAGAAAGCAATAGATCTCTGTCTGGAACCAGGTTGATCCTGAAGAACACAGCCAGCAGAAATTATAGGGAGAGGAAAACTGTCAAATGTTTGAAGCAAATCATAGCAACAAGAAATAGGCACTTTCTAATGATGTATATGAGATATCTCTTGAAGAAAAGAAAAGTTCACAAAAATAAGATATGGAAAATACCTTCAGCTTCAGTATCTCCTTGCTCAGCGCATTTTTTAGACCATCTGTTTCCTATAATTCCAAAGGGCATAAAGTTTTTCAACGATAACAGAGACAGAAAGATTGCAAGTAGTCAAGATCTCATTAACTCATTTGCTAAGTGACAAGTAGCATGATACTTCCAAAAGCTAAAACAATACCTCCTGAGACCAACCATCGACTACAAATACATCCAGAGAGAAACCATCCGCAGTAGAAAAAGCATGAGCTTCTTGGATATTCAGCCCAAGATCACCAAGCAGGGAAGTCAGCTGAAACAGAAAACCATTTCTCACTCAAATAATCACAAAAACGGAAGAAATAACCTCCTCCACATGACAACTGAGCATCTAAACTGTGGCAAAGTTTATGCACTTAAACAGCAAACCGTGATGTTAATCGAACCATCACCAACCTGGCTAAGGAGTTTCGGCTTATCAATGGTTGAAAATGTGATCTCGTGCATTGGTCTGCAGGATAGGCAACAAAGGATATAATTAAACACGAGACTACACTTCCATTCTAAAAAAACTTAACAATCATCCAGAGGAGCTCAGTTTAACAATAAATCTCACCGAGTAGTCAATGTTGCATTAACAGCACTATCAACATCTTCAACAATCTTATTTCCCTGAGTAATAGCCTCAAAATTTGGAGAAGAACCAAAAGTTGGAGGTGCAAGAACCCTTTTGACAGGAAGAAAAAGAACACGGTTTTTAAAAGACGTTCCAACGTTGAAAACGGTTTAAGATCGATCTCAATGTGAAGTCCACATACCCCTGCCCGCTTGGGTTAGAGCTTTGAGCATCTTCTTCCAACGCAGGGTCAGAGTCAGCAGAATTTCTGGGATTAACCTGCAAGAAAGAGGGCCAGAGAAACCCATTAACACAACAAAGCTTAATACAAACTTTCTTACTAAAAATAAAGCTAGAATTTGGCTCAAGATTTTGATTACCTGTACACTACGAATTTCAAACACAGGCCTAGTTGCAGGATCTTCCGCCAATTTCAGTAATCTTTGATGAGTAAGAACATCTTCTGCTCTCTCAACTTTAACATCAAGAGCATATCTGAACCATAAGAATAGTAAGATCCAATGATAATGCCAAATGCAAATATCCCAAATGCCAAAACAAGAAGAAAAAAAAAAGATGAATGTTTTCAAATTGATCGTGTTTTCAGGTCAAGACACGTATTCATTTGAGATGGGTCAGCGAGAGAGAGAGAAAGATCAATCGCTTTCGATGAACATATACAAAACGGAATTATCAAAGCGAAACAAACAAAAAACTTGAGTAGAACCCAGAAAAACAAAAATTTGCAAGATTCTAGAAGATACTACGCCCTAAAAGTAAAATCGAATTGATCAAAATCCAAAGATAGAAACAAAAAACAAAACCCTAAATCAGGAAAGAGTACCGAGCAGGAAGACGATTGAAATGTTGCCAAAGATGATCCTCGAAATCAGGAAGAGTAGCTTCTTCGTAGTTAGATTCTTGGAGTCTCTGTAAAACCTCACCGTAGACATCGAGTTTCATCCGGTAATGTCTAGGGTTTTCTTGAGACGGCGAAGCAACGACGGCTCTACTGCCGCAACTCTCCGACTCATCTTTGATCGTCATCGGAAAAACCAAAATCCACGACGGCAGATCGGAGAAAAATAACAACTCGAAGCCACCAGAATCAGAGAGAAGATTGATCCAAGATTCAGGTAAAAGTTACTGCTAAAAATGAGAGAGAGAAACGGAGAATCTTGTGGGATTGTTATATACGCGTAACAGGAAAAAGAGGATACAGAAAAATCTTGAGGGATTA